GTAATAGTCAAGAAACACTTAGCAATGATCCGAGTGCCGCCAGCAAGCAGCAGCTAGGTCGGAGCGAAGGGGACCATACTCACGAGGGTAACTTGGTTCAGCGCAATAAGTGCAAGCCACACCTTAGAGGCGGGAATAAAATGGAACGCAACATCAGAGAAGGCCATGGATAAGAGGAAAATAAAAGCAACAGGGTTTAGACGTAAGTGGAAGAGAGCGGAATTCTCTGCCATACCATGGTCGGAAATGGCGTGAACGTACGTGAACAGTAAGAGGGCAGACGGCCGTACAGATAAGAATAGTTTCGTCAGCGCACTGCGCTTAACTCTTACAATAATGGAGAGAAAAATGTGTAGAGTCTCAGAGGAAATACACAGGTTAAATATAAAAGTGGCTAGGTTATACAGGGGTGATTAGGTCCGGCAAGCCTATGGAAGTGATGGAGACCGATCAAACGACACTTGATTAGTCGGTGCATTGAGAATAAGTCCTAGAGATAAGATGAAAAGAAAGTAGAGATGATCAGCAGCAAAGGGTAGAAAACAGAGTGAAGCGGTAGTTTTGACATTGGATGAGCAAATTTAGTAGATTTCTGAGGTAGTAATAACAGCATTGTGTCTGCAGTGTCTAGACCGTTAACATCCTGGTGGCTGGAGTTCACAGAGAAACAGACCAGGCAGATGACGGTAGGTTAAGGAAAAGCACTGAGATTTGGCTGCTTGCTTGAATAAGAATTGAAAACAAAGAGGGCATCAAGAAGATGACGGTTAGGATGAAAACAATTCACTGCTAAATTGGGGCGAAGCCAACCATGCTATCGTGCGAATGAGTATGAATCGCTCAGTCCTGAAAAATGGCCAACCATATCACAATGTCTGAACAAAAGCGTTAAACAGGAGAACGATCAAACGAGACTGGCTTAGTCGACAGATTAAGCTTAAGTGTTAGAGCTTATGTGGGAAGAAAAATAAGGAGTCATCAGAGATGGACAGGTTTGGGCAGGAAGAGACTATATGTATACGGGTATGCCACGGCAAATCAGGCAGGCAGGCAATGTGAGAAAAGTTTTGTGTTGGTTATGCAGAGCCTACAACTTGTACATTCCGTTTGTCTGAAAGCAGCCAACATAAGAACAAGTCAGAACACGGAGAGCTCACTTTCCGGTTGAGGATGAAATAAAGGTAGAGAGTGCCATAAGGACAGGACAGAGTCGAGAGTAAGCGTTTACAGATAGGAAATGGGCAGTTAACGTGCCTCTCGAGGTAATGCGGACAGAGCGTTCAGTCATCCGAGCAAAGGCTGGCATCGGCACAAGAGTCGGATATAAGGAGACCGATCAGACGAGACGGCATTCGTCGGCGTATTTAGATTGCGTCGTACAGTTAACGAGGGGAGATAATTGGAATCAATAGGATTGGGCAGCTCATAGATAGAAGTGGCTATATAAGCATAGAGTGAATATGTCCATCAAGCTATCGAGATGAGGAAGACATTGCGTTGAATCTACAGAGCTTAGACCGTAAACATCCATGTGGTCTGGAAGAGGTAAGTAATGAAGATCGGTCAGATAAGACAAAGTTAGAGCAGTACACTGAGATTTGGCTGTCAGTGTAAAGAGGGATTAAAAGCAGAGACCGCAGAAAGGAAACGACAGGATCGGGATGGAAAATGTTTACTGCCTTGGTGTGGATAAGCCAACGAGCCTCTCGTGTGTAGGGGTATCGAGCTTTCAGTCTTCCGATCAATGGCCGGAAATATCACGACGTTCTGCGAAAATTCGGTGAGCAGCAACCAATCAGACAAGACTAAATTAGTCGGCGCAATGCGACTTAGTTATACAGCTAATTCTGGAGGACAAATAGAGTGGTGGTATTGGGATCGCGGGACAGATTTCACCCTACAGGTTCTCTTCAGTTTCGCGCATTCCCTCGGGCCCATAAGCTGGATCGAACCGTTGCCTGCTAGACGCATGCGAAATTTAGCCGGCAACCCAACCTACGGAGTCACGGAGAACGTTGTCTACGCTGCATAATTTGCAATCCAACTGGGACATTTTACCACCTATTTAACAATGTCACTGAGAGTCGTTAGTCTGCGAGGTACTGACGTCCTTCCACTAGATGCTATATCTTTAACATTTAAAATGAATACCGGCTGCATTTATATTATAATACTCACGAGTTGCCGGAGTTAATTTAAAATTCTGATAAGGATTACAACCCGACAGTTCCTAATCTACAGTTCAATGCCTAGTCTGGCAAAGCGCCATACGCGTTTCGCCCTATGGTTGCTCGTCGGTGGCGCGCATTCCTCTGCTCCATTAGGAGGATCGAATTCATGACTGCTAGAGGCAGATGCGAACTAGCCAGCAGCTTAAGACACTGAGCCGTAGGTACGTTTGCTGGGCTACATAATTTACAAACTAACTGGGATATAGCACAACATATATATTACTGTCACTGATAGTGCTTAAACAGCAAGTTATTGACGTCATTGCACTAGACGCTATATATGTAGCATTTGAAAATGAGAGAGGTTATTTTATTATATATTACTCACGAGCAGCAGGATTTCAGTTATAAGGCTGATAATGATTTCGTAACTGCAGTTCAGAAGCTACAGATCACAGCCTTGTCCATAAAAGCGCCAGACGCATTTCGCCACATTGGGTCTCGTCTGCGGCACGTCTCCTCGGTCCTCTATGGAGGATCGAAACCATGCCCCTTAGAGGCAGATGCCAAACAGCCAACAACATTAGCCATCGAGACATGGGGGCGTTGAGTAGGGTAAAGAATTTTCAAACGAACTGGGACATACCACCACATATCTAGAACTGTCAAATACGTTCGTTAGCCGGTGAACAGATAGCGTTCACTCACTAGACGTTATAACTATATCATAAGAAACTGGAGAGGCTATTTTAATTTTGTGTTTTACATGAGCAGCGGGAATTTAGGTACAATTATGCTAAACATTTCAACTTAGTAGTTTACAAGCTACATAGCAGAACATAGTCAAGAAAATAGCAGGAAGCGTTTCGCCATATTGGGTCGCGTTAGTGGCGCGCAGTTTCGCGATAATCTTAGGAGTCTTGAACCATGGAACTTTAGAGGAAAATGCCAGGTAGCGAGCAGCTTAAGCCCCTAAGTAATGGGTGCGCTTTCTAGGACATGTAATATGCAAAATAACGGACAAATCACCAGCTATCTAGCACCGTCCCTGCGATTCGTTAGCATGTTAGCTGATAACCACATCCTAATGGACGCTATATCTCTAGCATTTGAAAATAGGCGAGGCTACCTTTTTATAATACTCATGCGATTTCATGCAGTCTCTGCAGCGCAAGGCTTCATATTTCGTGCGTTGATCTGACTGTAGACCAATTTCGTATAATTCAGGGCATTAAGAGCGAATTTTTGAAGACCGTTTGAATGCAATGCCAAGCTAATCTTGTGCAGAAGAAAACGGGCAAGTCTAACAAGCGAATCAGCACAATGAATTGCTCTAAAATGCCCAGCTCAAATTGTGCTTCACCACAGTCAGTGAAGCAGCCAACGCCTAGTACCTCACCGCATCCATCGAGGAAACAAGGTACTAAAGTTCCATCAGACTCTCCCTCAAGACCTACCATATGTTCAGCTGACAGTAAAGTTCCAATTTGCAATAAACAAACTGAGGATAACGATTGGAGAGTACAAACATCGAAGAAACCAAGACCAATATCTAATAACCTGAGGCGCCGTAGCCTCCTAGTCTTTTACGCACCTGAGTCAGGTGATTCTAATCCTCAGGTGCGTTATGCACATGACATCGAATATTTGCAATCATTGATTGACAAACTACTCGATGTAAATGAGGACGGGCTCAAAGTGCAGCAGATCGCCCGTCTAGGAAAGAGAATGGAAGGCAAAAGTCGGCCCATGAGGGTGACATATGTTGAAGAAGCAAGTACCAAGTTACCATTGTCTCGCCTTAATAGGCTGATGGGACTGAAGATCCACGTGCGCGCTGACTTAGAAACGGCAGACAGAGAGAAACTCAAGTCTGCCATGATTAAACTAAAGCGGCGCACGGAGGATGGAGAAACAAACCTCCGTATTGTAAATTTTCGAGTAGTTATCCGGGTTCCTCCACGAATCCGGATCAAAAGGTTGCTAATACTTCAGGCGCGCCCAGCGGGTCCTACCGCGGTCTGCGCGTAGCCTTTACTAATGTATGCAGTTTGATGAACAAGCGCGATGTGCTGTACGACTTCGTAAGCTCTCAGCGACCGGACGTATTAAACCTTGCTGAGACATGGTTAAACTCCGAGATAAACGCCCAAGAAGTGGAAATCACCGGCTACTCATGTTTCCGCTGTGATAGACCATCAAATGATCGCGGTAGCGTTCTGCTCCACCTAAAGTCTTCCTTGTGTGGGAGACTAGTGAGCGCCTATCAAAGCGCTGATGGTCTATGTGAGCAGTTATGGTGTTCGATACACCTCAGACGCTGCGAGTTGCACGTGGGCGTGGTATATCGCAGCCCACTGAGCCGCAGTTTGGACTGGTTGCCGCATGTCCGCAACCACATGAGTCGTCCGATGTTCCTACTCATGGGCGATTTCAACTTGCCCCGAATACAGTGGCCTGAAGCTGAACTTCTCCCCGGCCACTGTGAAGTCGAGAGGAAGTTTACGGAGTTGATATTTGAAACCGCGGCCACACAGCACATCAACCAACCGACACGCATTACAGCGCGCGCGACTCCATCATGCTTAGACCTGCTGTTGACTAGCTGTGAGCAGCGTGTACATAACATTCAAGTCTTAGAGCCTCTGGGAGCGAGTGACCACTCAGTGATCATAGGCAGTTTAGAACTACCGCTACCGTATCCTCTCCCACTAGAGTCGACCTTCAACTATTGGAAGGCGGACTTTAATGGCCTCATTCGAGCAGCGAGCCAGATAGACTGGTCTTTACCACAGGATTCATCTATTGAAACCTGTTGGGCTATCATTAAAGAGGGAGTGAAATCGTTGTGCGCCCGATTTGTGCCCCTCAAATTTCGGAAAGTTGGGCCAGTCAAACCACATTGGTTTGACAAAGAGTACAACAAAATGGCCCGACGGCGACGTAGACTATGGAACAAATTCGTGTTATCTGGCTCTGATGAGGACTACAATGCGTACAAGGTACAACGAAATCGCTGCAACAACGCGAAAACAAGCAAACGCAGAAGCTTCGAAGAGGAGCTTGCAACTGCCGCAAAAACTGCTCCCAAGAGGATCTTCGCATATGTGAAGCGGCGCCTAAGGCCTATAGCCAATATCCCAGTGTTAGAAGGCTCAGAAGGACAGCCTCTAACCTCGAGTACAGATCGTGCGTCAGCATTGGCAACGCACTTCGCCTCCGTATTCGCAAGTGACCAGGTGTCTGTAATGAGTTCGACGAGCACCGCTCCAGCCGAACTTAACAGCCTGGACTGCAATATTGAGGATGTACGCAAGATTCTAGCAAATCTTGACGGGACGAAACCTGCTGGGCCAGATGGTATACACCCACTAATCCTTAAGTCATTATCGACCATAATTGCACCTTCTGTAACTGAACTGTTTAATAGGTCACTATCCACTGGTCTACTACCGGACGACTGATAATGCTCAGTCGTAAAGCCTATCCCGAAAGGTGGTAACCCAGGCAAAGTGGATAAATGCCGGCCGATCTGCCTGACGGCAGTTTTGGCAAAGACGCTCGAGAAGATCGTGAATAAGAGCCTTCTGCAACTTCTGGAATCGAAAAACCTGTTAACCCCTGCACAGCATGGTTTCCTGAAAGGTCGTTCGTGCATCACCAACCTACTGTTGACGAGGCACGAATGGTTACAAGTGCTGAACAAAGGCCAATCGGTTGACGTCATTTACATTGACTTCAGTAAGGCTTTTGACAAGGTTAACCACGCAGTGCTCCTTGACAGACTGAGGATGTGCGGTGTTGGTGGTTCGCTGCACAAATGGATCAGCAATTTCCTTATTGATCGAAAGTGGAGAGTCCAGGTGGACAACCATCTAACTGACTGGTATCCATCGAGCAGCGGCGTGCCCCAAGGCACTGTACTGGGACCGATATTGTTTCTAATCCATATAAACGATGTGCCTCAGCTACTACAATCACATTGTGCTTTGTTCGCAGATGACTTGAAAGTGTGGAGAGTAATCCATACACTCAATGAATGCAATTTACTTCAGCAGGATCTCGAGCGCCTCTCAACATGGTCTACAGAGGTTAATCTTCCGATCAACCCTGCCAAGTCGCAATTCATGAGGTTGGGTAAGTATGATCACGGCCGAACGTACACAGTGGCTGGACAACCGTTGCATCCCGCTCCTTTCGTGCGCGACCTCGGTGTACTCTCACGCTGCGACCTAAAGTCCATTGACAACACGAATAGGCTGTACCAAAACAGCCTTCGTATGCTTTGGGCTCTCAGGCGCAGCTTTAGCACTTGGTCCGAAGAGATTGCTTCTCGCCTCTTCGTCTCGATAATACGACCAATGCTGGAGTACGGCACTCCCGCATACTGTCCCATCACCCGGGGCGAAGTAGAAAAGCTTGAGCGGGTGCAGCATGTAGCCACCAGGCTGATTCCCAACTTACGAGGTATGTCATACGAAGACCGATGTAAGAAACTAGGGTTATACACCCTATCTTATCGTCGGCTGAGGGTTGACCTCATCATGACGCACCGGATATTACATCTGGGTGATTACCCCATGTTGTGACAACTACTTCATCTGCGCACACCAAGCTGCACGAGAGGACACAAGTATAAAATTATCGTCCCGGAATTGAAGTGGGTCGCCCATCAACTCCGTTTCGAACGCAGAGTGGTTAATGTCTGAAACGACCTGCCTCAGCATATAGTAGAAGCGAACACCGTGTCTAAATTCAAGAGGCTACTAGACCAACAGTTTGCAGAGGCAAAGTACAGAGAGCGCAACGATAAATAAACGTTTATGTCCGAAAACGACGAATGATGCAGCTACACAGAGCAAACTCTACTCGCTGCTTCGCACCAGTTCTCAGTTCTCAGTTCTCACGAGTAGGACGATTCCAGTAATTATTCCTATAAGAGTTTCATCTCAATAACTTCCAAGCTACATAGCAGAGCCTAGTCCGGAAAAGCGGTAGAAAAGCCTTTCAATATTAGAGGCGCTCATTCCTTCAGTCCACTAAAAAGGATCTTAATCTTGACCGCTAGACGCAGTTTCCAACTATCCAGCAGCCTAAGCCATTGAGCAATGGGAGAAGTTGCCCAAGCTACGCTATTTATAATGTAGATGTGATATAGTACGACATATCTACCGCTGTCCTTGACAGTGGTTAGGCTGCGATATGACGAGGTCCTCTAAATATATCTTTCACGACTCAAGCCAATCCGTAACGGCATCATGCTCCTTCTTAGGAATATTCAACCAAATTCATAACCACATCAAGTTGAATCCAGTGGCGCACACGCACAAATGCGTGCCCATCGTCTTGACCATTTCCAAGTCAGCACAAGAATAATCAGAGCATGTGCAACGGTTGGTGCATGGGTTAGACTGCTCTCAGCCAACAAACCACGTGATGCACACGCGGACGTGAAAAAAACGTAAGCTTGTTCACTGTAGGATAGATGCAGACTAGCACGCGGCATCTATGGACGATTGACGAAGTATTGTAACTTCTACCCACTCACTTACGCGGCACCAAGACGCACAACACAGAAGTGGGCGGCCATCCGCGTTCATAGTGCTCACTGTTACGCGCAGACGACCAGACATGAAATGTACTCTACAATGAGACCGTATCGATTGCCTTCACTGAAACTAGCTGCAGGCAGTTCCGTTAACCTCACGTGGTGTGACCTAGACTTAGCGGTGTCTACGTGTGATCAGGTATGGTTAATAGTGACTAGGTGAAATAATTAATGCGTGCGGTGCTTTGCTGCGCGCTATCATGGAACAATGCGTTAGTTATCAATGGGTGTGGCCGAATTACCTTTTAACTGCAGTTGATGGGCAATAATGATGAAGTTAGCCTCAGCATCCGCACAGCAATGAATGAAACACTGCACCAAGCTTTGCGGAAGAGTACCGCGTTAATTGTGATAAGGTTACCGGGTTGGCAAACGTTCGCATTTACTGGTCTATTTGCAATCGTTAGTAATATGTAGCCGTTGACAGGGTGAAGGCTTACGTTTTTAAAGAACCGCCAAGAGTTCGTTGAAACGAAGATGAAACGGTGAGCTATGTTAACGGTAGCGCACTCCTCACCAAGATGCCGAAGTGCGACGCACTGGGTATGGTGAAACGCTGTTTGACTGAAGAGATTGACCTAGGGAGTGACCGAAAATTAAGTTGGTTGAAACAACCGAGAGTAAGACATTGCGCGGTATGTTGTTCTAGCTCGGGCTTCAGTAGGAAGTAGGCACTCAGGAACATGATGTTATCATTAGATCGCCAATGTCCACTATGTTGTACATAGAACTGGCAAACTCCAGTAAATGGCCAAATGTTGTTGGTATCAAGTGGATGGCACATTTTAACACAAAAGTGGATAAGAAAAGCTAGTTTGTGAGGAATCTGAAATCGCCCACCATAGAGTAGCACATCGCCATTCCTTGGCTGCTCTGTTTGCAAGGGTGATTAGCTTCCAAACCGATATTTCGTCAACCGGTGGACACAGATTAGACACAACACTACAATTCCGATCTATGTGTTTCACAGATAAGGCCATGTGCACAGAGAAGGAAGTAAACAGTAAAGTAATTCCTGAATAGTGGACACCCGAAACCGGTAGTGAAAGACACGTTGCACAATATGCTAAAACCACATTAAAAATATACAGCGGAATGGATTGAGACGATAAGAATATTACAGGTAGCAGGAACTTCCGTTTCCGTCTCGACGGCACTAACCAAGCAATAAAACTCTGAATCTGTTCAACAATGGTGTATCTGAAAGACACACTCTTCGTAGATAAGATGACCAACGGTGTTCACAAATGTATTCACAATGACTGTGAATATGTGTGTATGGGAGATACCGCGGGCGAACTGCACACGACGCTGCTAAAACACCCGAGGCGCATGTCACGGCGACGTCCAAGTATAATACTCTGCTGTTAGATTCAGCGGGGGCGACGCACCTGTTGGGTACGGTGCACGTAAGGTGGCCAGAGTATTGATGAGTCAAACCGAAACGCTTCCAGATTTATTGCACAGCAAACCGAGACATTTAACCTACCCCGTTTGTTTCTGCATATGCTGATCGTACAATACATTGAAAAGATTTATATCTACATTTCTTGCTGCAGTGCAATAATAAAAATACTTGCGTTATTAGTCAGTAAAATGGCCACGCTACTGAAGCTTTACATATATACATAACTGGTATATTCCCGGTAGAATGAGGCATACAAGTGAAGGCACGACTAAATATACCTACAAACATAGCTGCTTTGGAACAGTAAAAGGCGTGGTTAAAATAAAGTACAACCAAACTTTTCGTAGTTTACTCACTTGAGAAGTTCGGGGGTTAATAGTGAGATCCCGGAACATTATGGTGCTAATTTGCAAAAAATCAAGATTATTACTATGGTGGCGATAGCCAACGGTCGGCATGATTTCGCTAAATTGTAATCCTTGGTTTCATGAGCACAGGAGCCAAAGTAAAATATCGTTACAAGCGTTTCCGATTAAACGTTGATGTACTGCTTGACATAATATTATCTGTAACAATAGTTATCGAGCAATACTTAAATAAAGGGAGAAGGAAATGTCTTATTCTCGACAGTGCGAGACATGCCTGCTTAGTCATGATCATGGAGACACAACAAGGACTGGTTAATGCAAAAACGACACGAGTTTATAAGTAACATATGGATCCATGTGTTAAGTGTGCATGAATGTGTTGTGTTGTTGTGTTGCTTGCATTTGTGAACAAGACGTCGTATTTGTGATTGTTTTCGGTCAGGTGTAGGAAGAAGAGAAATGAACTCTGCGTATTGGATGACCCACATCCGTGGATTGGGTTAGATCATCCGGATTTGTAAGAAAAAGTGGGTTTAGTGAGCGGCGAGTCACATCCGCCACGTCACAGTGCTGTTAAATGGATATTTGTGGCGTTTTATAGGAAAAGAACCCTTGCCAGGCGAAAACCCACCTTGTACTTAAACGCTGCCGCCGAACTATTTGCTGGAAGTGGGTAAACCCGAACCAACCAGCTGACATCACGAAGCGGTTGTTTGCCTATCTAGTTGAATGTATTATTCGTAGTAGATCTGGGCGCTGCATTAGCATGTTTGAAGTTGTTCGCAAGACTACGCGGATTTCTTGTCTTCAGAACTGCACTTCACCATACGTATTGCCTTCAGTGTTTAAACGCTAAATTGCGTTGTCCAAAACCTACCTCGATTCAGTTTGGAAAAATGTATAGTGCTGCATCTGAGGCACAAGTTGGTTCATTCCCACAAAATCAGCAACCAGAATCTACAAA